GTTGACCACGTTAATAGAGAAATGACCAGAACATTAATTGTTGACCACGTTAATAGAGAAATGACCAGAACATTAATTGTTGACCACATGTTGGTTTAACTCTAAAACTTATGTAATCTCTCCATGTCGATAGTTTTGTCCTTCAAGTTTTACTTTCTTAGTTTACAAAAATTAAAATAAACTAAACTGTACGATTTTAGCATGAAAGGCCAACTTTAATAAACGTTACTTAACTAAACTATTTAAAAATAAAATAACAATTCGGCCAACTTATTAATCTGATCAATAACTTTGCTGGAAGTTAATAAATATGACACTTCTGATTGTTTAAACATGAAATAACATCGCTGCTAACTTGTTCTTGTGATAGATAACTTTGATGGAAATTAATAAATATGACACTTCTGATTGTTTAAACATGAAATAACATCATTGCTAACTTGTTCTTGTGACTGATAACTTTGATTGTTTTGTTTTACTACAGGAAATATACCACTAGTTTGTACGTGCCTCTGCATAAAAAATAATACTATTCACAATCTAATCAAAAACATTTAGGTGTGAAAAAAAAAAGGATTGAGCGTGCGAGTTAAAGAAACGAAACCAAAATAGGTTGTCAAGCTGGTAGATACAGTTATAGCATTGATAAGATTTTACAGCAAATGTTCATTCATTAGTTAGCCAGGCCACGTTTTTTGTTGAACTTAGGGCATGATAGTGGGTAAAACAAAATACGCGGCCTAGATAACTAATGAATGAATATTTGTTGTAAAATTCTTATCAATGCTATAAGTGTAGCTACCAGTTTGGCCACCAATTTTGATTTCATTCCTTTAAGTTTCACACTGAATCTTTTTTTTTTCACACCTAAAGTGTTTTTGATTAAATATCATGACTTTTGTCAACACACACACACTAATTATAGATTGTAAAGATCTATCAGTATACCAAATTAGAAATCCATAAAGTTAAGTATTGTTTTTTTTCTATCAAATAAAGTTTCTGTACTTTTGGTGAAGAAAAAAATATAGGAAGAAAGTCAATGAAAATTGGAGATGTTATATCTCAGATATTTCTTAATGGATTGCCTTATTTGATGAAGTAAGAGTTCAGAAGAGCACACGTGATAGTTGTGGTTACAATAGTCCGAGATACAGAAGGTTGAAAATTGCTAAACTATCGCTCCTTTTAATAACACACAGTGTGTCCTGCAGCAGGTTGTTTTCTTGACCGCACGACGCATTACCGTGTGTCTTGATACACTTAAATTTGACTTTAATTATCTTAAGCGTCTCATCTGTCTTGGTTTAGAAGCTCATACGAACCACCGAATTGAAAACTCGTGTTATGCTTCCCATTGACTCTTTTGGTGTTTTAACTTTGGAATGGCATGTTAGCACGTGCCACGCAGTCGACCGATACTACGTGCACACATCTGGGGTAAATAAGGTGATGTCATAATCTATTCACATCGACACAATTCTTTTAACTTACCGAAACAACAGCTTCGACCAATTGAGTCTGTTATACGTTAGTCGAACAGCACCTAGACAACAGTTACACTGCCAGGCAAGGCCAGTTACTGGGCCTTATTCTATCAATCTATTGTGAACAGGAAAATGTGATGGTATGAAGAAAACACTTTGTACATGCTTAAATTGGACAATTTAACAAGACCGGAACATTGTATATATAAAGTCATCTGGAATGATTGATTTACGATGTCTTGTTGAAGCAAACAATACCTAAGTTGCACATGTGTGATGACTGACGAAACTGTATGATGTAGTTTCTATACCTTTTGTATTGTTCGCACATTATGTATTGTTAAATGAACTAATTAGAATTGTTCATTTATGGTAATGTTGAATGAGTTGTTGCTAATAGTTGCTCATGATGTATAATTGAATGAACTGTTGGGATTAGCTTACTTGTAATGTATTTTTGGGTGAACTGTTGAGTATGTTTGACACATCGTGTATTGTTAAATATATTGTTGGGATTAACTTACTTCTAATATATTATTGAATTAACCGCTGGGTATGTTTGACACATCGTGTATTGTTAAATATATTGTTGGGAATAGCTTACTTGTAATGTATTATTGGATTAACCGCTGGGTATGTTTGACACATCGTGTATTGTTAAATATATTGTTGGGAATAGCTTACTTGTAATGTATTATTGAATTAACCGCTGGGTATGTTTGACACATCGTGTATTGTTGAATATATTATTGAGATTAATTCACTCGAAATGTATTAATGGATTAACTTTTGGTATTAGCTGCTCACTCTTAATATGTTATTAAATCCATTGATGAGATTATCTCTTTCCTGAATAATCTCTGTTGTGAAAATAGTCCAGTAAAACTGATTTATGATGTAGTGTTCAGATTTCAATACGGATTTAGTTTGGCATGTTACAGTTATTTCCTGCATATTTTTTTTTACTTTGCCCTGCTTGTAACGGTGTTGTATATGGTGTGGGAAATACACATATTAGATTCGTGATTTACTTCTTATCTGTATGTTGTAATTTCTTAATATTTCTGTGTTATCTTTACCCAATATGTATTATAATGTCTTTGGTAACTCGTTTTTATATAGATCAAACTTGTAAACTAGTACATGTTAAAATGGAAGGTATCTTTCTTTTAAAGTTAAAATGAATTAGTTTTCATATATTTCAGGTGTTATTATATCATATACAACCTGTGGACTACAAAAGTGTTTTCTTAATAAGTGCAAACGGAGATCAAGTATGACTGAAATCATGACTCCATTTCATCGACAACTGCTTCAACCAAATGACTCACCGTGTGCCTTTGTTAGTTAAACATCCGCTTATAAAAAGTTAAATTAGGGTTGTGAGTCCTGCCATCCTCTGTTTTCACTTTTTCAGAAAACTACGTAAAAATCGCAATTATATTTTCTAATAGTAAATGAAGTAAACAAATGACTTTAATGTGTCCGATTATAATGCTTTATTTCCTTAATGTTTCATCAACAATATATGTTAATTGTTTGATACGTATACGACATTTTTATTTGTTCTTAATTATAATTTATTTAGAATGTATATATATATTTATTGTGAAAACCATTTTGCGTTATTAACACTTTCTAATACTAAACTAAATCTCCTGCACTAACCGAACTTCATGGGTATTATTGGAGTTACGGCCGAAAAAATCGATAACAACGAGACTACCCAACTTATGAAACAATGCATTTTAATCACTGTAAGTAATAACATAATAACATTATACTTAGATGACTAAGTTCATTTGGGTTAATTTGGAATTCTCATCGTTCAAGTTGCCATGTTTACTAAAAGTTACCGGTAGCAATATTTACGAATCAAATGTTCGTCGATCATATAAATTATGTTTGTTACGAACCTTTTTTTCGTCCTAAAATAATTTCTTTGTTGTCTTCTCTCCTCCAGGTAATATTAGGAGTAGGTATCCCGGATGCACGACATTGTAAAGTTACGTGACTTCCTTCTTTAACTTCTTCATCAGAGCTTGTTTTTCCTTCGTCGATTTTTGGTGGAACTAGAAATTAAACAAATTTATTTCTACAAAATCTTACAGAAGAGCTAGTGGAGAAGTAATATATATATATATTCTTTTGTGAAGCTTCTTTTTAAATTCTGGATCTGGAGTTTGTATAACACTGACACTATTATAGCAGTAAAGAAAACACTAGCACTACTACAACAATAAAAAACACTAGTACTACTACAGCAGTAAAAAAAACACTAGTACTACTACAGCAGTAAAGAAAACACTAGCTATACCACAGCAATAACAAAATACTAGCACTACTACAGCAATCATTAAAACACTGGCACTACAGTAGAGAAAACACTAGCATTACTATAGCAATAAAAAACATTGGCAATATTCCAGCAGTTAAGAAAACACTAGCACTACTATAGCAGTTAAGAAAACACTAGTACTACTACAGCAGTTAAGAAAACACTAGCACTACTATAGCAGTTAAGAAAACACTAGTACTACTACAGCAGTAAAGAAAACACTAGCTATACCACAGCAATAAGAAAAGACTAGCATTACCACACAAATAAAAAACACTAGCGATAACACAGCAATAAGAAAATACTAGCATTACTACAGCAATCAAGAAAACACTGGCACTATTACAGCAGTAAAGAAAATGTTGGCACTATTACAGCAGTAAAGAAAACAATAGTAATGTAGTACACTAGCATTATTACAGCAGTAATGTGGAACAATGAATCCGAAAACGATCTTTGGACAAATAACAAAATTGAACGCCAACGCCTCTATTTCAATAAAATACGCTAATATTTATACTAATGTGTAGGTCATCTTCATGAAGTATATGGAGTTATATTTATGGACTTGTAACATTCATTTATATATATAATAGTAGACGACGTCTTTGAAACATTTTTCTGATTACTGACTATAACGCTTAAAGACAAGTTGGAGAATATTTACTGTTGTCACTTCTCTTGTTGTTAGTATTAGTACAACATGTTTATTAACAGCTACATAATAATTAACTCACCTACTACTCTCACGTATCCACTCTGGCTGATCATGGGGTTTGTATTAATTTGACACATATACTGGCCTTGATCTTCTTGTCTGACGTCAGTGATGTGAAGGACCCACGTGCTATGTCCATTGTGATTAATATGGAAGCGTGGATTTCTAGTAATCACAGTGTCGTGTAGAGTTAGGAGCATGTGCCTGTCGATGTGGATCCACGACACCTAATGGCAGAGAAAAGCAAGTTAAGTAGTAAATAACAGTATATATATATTTCCTGAGAATAGCAACAATGTGATAATTTTATTTAAAAACCTGACGTTCATTATTAGCATTCAAGAAATATCAACTACACCAAATACTATTCAGGTCACATTGTATTCCTTGGATCAGCTGCACCAACCTTCAGTCAGGCCACATTGTATTCCTTGGATCAGCTACACCAACCTTCAGTCAGGCCACATTGTATTCCTTGGATCAGCTACACTAAGTTTCAGTCAGGTCACATTGTATTCCTTGGATCAACTACACCAAATACTATGCAGGCCACATTGTATTCCTTGGATCAGCTACACTAAGTAATATGCAGGCCACATTGTATTCCTTGGATCAGCTACACTAAGTAATATGCAGGCAACATTGTATTCCTTGGATTAACTTCATAAATTTTCTGTCAGGCTACCCTCTATTATTTGGATCAGCTACTCCAATTTTCTGTCAGGCCACCCTGTATTACTTGGATCACCTATACCAACTTTCTGTCAGGTCATACTGTATTACTCGGATCAGCTACACCAACTTTCTGATAGGCCATACTGTATTACTCGGATCAGCTACACCAACTTTCTGGTAGACCA